AGATACCCTTTACACCCCTTTTTAATCAATTTAAAGGCTTTCATGGACGAAATTAGATATGGAGGAGGTACTACACCAACTCCGTTAAACACAAATTCAGGCAATCCAGGTGGACGGAAAACAACTTGTTTCGTTACACAGTCTATGGTAGCATAATATTTTGTTAACCAGTCCATTCCCAAAATTACATTGAAATGATCAATGTTCAAAGGCTGTAAGTCAATATACAAAAGCACCCCAATAACAATTTCACATGCAGGATACACATAAGCACAAGTCATGGATCCCCCGGCGGGTGAAGATACAGCTAACAAATAGTTCATAGGTTCCAGTGGTCTATTTAATTTTCACAAAAAAGCATGCGAGACAAATGAATGTGTAGACCCCGAATCAATCAGAATATAAGCATTTTGAGCACAAATTGAGAGTATACCTGATACAACTGTCTCGGTATTCTGCACATCTCCTGGCACGAGTGCAAACACCCGGCCTTGCCTTAAAGGCTCCTTTCCAGTAGCCTTGAGGTTGGGTTTTGGAGTGACAGTTGATGCTGCGGCACTAGCTGCAGCCTTACTATTGCCTTGAGAAGTGGAAGGACAATCCTTGACCATGTGGCCCACCTTGCCACACCTGTAACAAGCACCAGAAATCCTGCAACAAACTCCCTTGTGCCTTTTGCAGCATTCGGAGCAGGGCGGTATGGAATTGTTTTCCTGGCTAGAGCTAGTCGTTGACCCTGTATTTTGCTTCTTATTCGATGAGTTATTTCGGCCTTTCTTGAACTTAAAGCCCCACCTCTTACCGCGCCACTCAGTCACCGGTGTTTCAGTCTATTTTAATGCTTCGATATTCGACTCAGCTATTATTGCCCTGTGAAAACCCATATTTAAATTATTCTTGAAAGAAAATAAATTAATTAATTAAATTATTAGTTTTTTTAAATTAACCCAATTCTGTCGCTAACAAAGACCCTATTAAGAATAAAAATGTTGTGGATGTTCAATAATTATTGTTAAAAAAATTAAATAAATAAATAAATAAACAAATAGAAAAATAAAATAATATATATATATATATATATATGTGTATACAAACAGACAAACCGTGGGCAAACAACCCACAGTTCCTACCAAACCCACCATCTCTTAGAAATTAGGAAACCATAAAATTTAGGGAAAGCTTATTCTTAGAACTTGGAGAAAGGTAATGGCAGAGAGAGAGAGAGAAAGTGAGAGAGAGAGAGAGAGAGCTAGCCTCGGAGGTCTATATAATGCACATAATAGTCATGCATAGAAGGGTAGGTTTCAGTGTTTGCATGCATGTATTCCTTTTGACGGGTGAGGAAGAAATAGGGAAGAAGAATTCAGCAAAAGGAGAAGAAGAAAAGAAGGTTTAGGAAGCAAATTCTTCTATCATTTCATCACCCATTTCAATCCTACTACTAGGTAAGAAGACCCTCTCAATCCTATCATTTTTTTTACATAATTGAAATTTTCAGATTGTATACATATGATACATTGTCTAAACTGTGTTGAGGATAATCTGTTTTGAATCTGCCAGCATGTTACCCGAATTTTTAGATAATTTTATACTCAAAATTTCGAGATGATTTCTTCTATAAAGTTGTTGATAATGATGTCTAGTTTATCCAAAAAAATTTGGTAACAATTTTTGAGCTTTCTACGAATTTATACAAAATTTTAACTAAATCTGAAACTGTGATGAAAATAGTCTATTTTGAATCTGCCAGAATGTCACTCGAATTTTTAGACAATTTTATACTCAAACTTTCGAGATAATTTCTTCTACAAAGTTGTTGATAATGATGTCTAGTTCGTCCAGAAATTTTGGTAACAATTTTTGAGCTTTCTACGAATTATTACAAATTTCTAACTAAATCTAAAACTGTGAGACAGATTTTACCATGTATTTGAAAATTTATTTAAAATTCTATACTAAGCCAAATCTGGTAATTTCTAACTAAAATATAAAATTTGAGAAGTCTAGTTTCATGATAAATTTTTATATTATGGGTTTGATCTATAAATTTAAGCATGGAATTAATGTAAGGAAATGTGACAAATCTGTGTCATAAACACCCTTGGAATTTGTTTAGAATTATTTATAAGTTATTTTTTGGAAAATGCTTTCTGAAAAATAACCATAACATGTTTATTGAGTATCCTGTAGATTGATATGAATTTTAGAGTTGTATAAGTAATGTATTTATAATTCTATTTGCAAGATATATACTCTGAAAATTTTTCTGGACAGGATAAAATCACCACTTTAATATTATGCTAGTCTAATTTTGTAAATCAAAAATTTGTGCATGTGTGTGTTTAGGGTTTAATTCTTGTATCTAAGTTATTATTTCATACCATGTTTTAAATAAATTGTTTATTTAAATTCTGTACTTTTATTTAGTATTGTGTGACACATGCAATATTTTATGATTGGGAATTTTAATGAGTTGGTATAACATTATTTGTGATTAAAAATTTGGAATTGTTTGTGATTAATATCAAAATTAACTGAAATGATTAACGGCATATACAAAGTTAACAATTGACGGTTAATACCAGTTGTTCGGAGTGAGTCTTGGTTTAAAGACTGTACGGAATTAAGAGTTGACGGTTAACACCGGTTGTTCAGGGTGAGCCCTGGTTTTGAGAATTCTCACGTAAATTGTGTTGCGAAACTCTAAGATGGCACGGGACTTATTTGAACCCTTTTCGGTATTCGGTTTTGGAATAAGGGTGGATGTGCAGGTGGCACACAGGGAGGTTGCTTACCCCTGGCAGACCGTTTCCTTGGGGCAGACCACGGATGCCACTACTTGGGTATATAACTCCGGACGTGGGCATCCCTGGTAGTTACGGTTGGTAACACTTGAATATTTGACCAAGGGAGGGTTTCAAATTAACCGTTGCCATGCTTAGTGGTTGGTAAGTTAAATCTCTTTTGTGAGATTTCGAGTGTCACCTAATTTATTAAAATTACTGAAACTATTCTAATGGTTGTAATTTCTGTGTATAATTATATTGTTATCTCATGTTTAGAATATTATTATTTTTCTCTTAAAAAGAATGGTAGGTTGGCTACGTTTTCTTACTGTGTTGCAAAATTCATGGCATATATTTTGTTACCCTGGCGTTTCATGACAGATTATGTCGAAGAAGGGACTGAGGCTGAAATTGGAGCTGCTGCCAATATCGAACCTTGGCTGACTTATCGAAATAAAATCCTGTTATCCCTTGTATTAGTATTTAACTATGTTGTGACATTGTGTGTGAACTTGTAGTTTTATTTTGTCGTTGGACTTTGACTATGTAAGAACTTAAAAGTTCCTAATTAGTAGTTAAAAATTTATCTAGCAAGTTATCGTTATTTAAATCTTATGACGTTTCAAAAAAAAAAATTTGGGACGTCACAGCTTGGTATCAGAGCCTAGGTTTGAACCTTTGGGCCATGGGTAGAAGTTTGTTTTTAAGAAAACCTTACGTTAATTTGTATTTTGAGGTGACTTGACTAAGTTAGAACCTTTTTATTTGTAGGATGCCAGGGTCATCAGACATTAACTCTAACGAGGAAAATTCGGTGGAAAACTATGACATAGAATCTGACCCAAGTGAAGAAGTGGAGATGCCTATAGAAGACTATGAAATTGAGCTTGAGCTTGACCCTGAACCTGATCCTGGACTTGAGCCTGAGTCTGAGTCTGATGAAGTTGAAGAAGTTGTACCAAAATACAACCCCCCGGAGGTTATTGTGATTGAGTCAGACACTGAAGATGAGTCTATGGAAGGCAATACCGAGGAGAACACTGGAGATATAGGAGCCACGTTTGAGGGTTGGGATGTGCGAAACAGGTTGCAGATTGGCTCTTTTGTATATGTCAGACTTTATCCCCTAGAAGGTTATGCTTGGAAAGCTGAGAGTTGGGTGGGTACCTATATCGGACCTGTCCAGATTCTAGGACAAAAGACTCCCTGGGTATATCAATTAGGCCCTTTCCCGGATGGTTTCACTGATAGGGTAGGCGACCTTTTTGACTTTTGGAGCCTTCAGCGTATCATGCCCGACCCAAGCAGAATTGTGAGGAGAGATGGGTCAGTGAACTTCAGGGACTGGAGGACTTATCGGGAGGAGCCAGTGCTGCTGCTAGGGCATCGTGTGTGCGAAGCTGCTATCTTCGTAAGGGTGCTGTGGCGATTCATGGGACTTTTCCAAGCCACATGGGAGCCGGAAGCCCTGGTGTGGAGAGACTTTCCTTGGCTATTTTAAGGGGTCCTAAGGGAACTATAAACTAGGCTAACTGATTGTTTTGTATGCTCACATGTAAAAAAAAAAAAAATTACCTAGTTTAGAATTGTGAGTGTAGGAGTTAACTCGGATTGTAGGGGCTATCTCTTGCCTGTAGTATGTTATTTAATCTTTCCCTTTGTTTTATTTGTATTTTGCTAATTGTAGCTTACCTAATCTAATTAATGAAGTCTTTTTTTTAACTATCCTTGCACATAAATATAATAATAATAATAATGATAATAAATAAATGAATAAATCACAAGAAAATCCCATCATGCAGAATGGCTGGACGAACAAGAAATAATAACAACGGTAATGGTGATGGAGTGCCTGATGGCGATGTTGCTCGAATTATACGCGCGATTGCTGATAGGGTAGGCAATATACCACCCCGAAACCAAGATCAAAACAAATCGGAGATGATAGCAAAATTTGAAAAGCTACGTCCCCACAAATTCCTTGGTGGATCCCATGAAGCTGAAGCTTGGTTAAGACAAATTAAGAAGTTGCTAGATACTTCCAACATCCGAAATGAACAAGATAGAGTGACCATGGCGGCATTTCAAATGGAAGGGGAAGCAGATCATTAGTGGGAAATGATCAAAAGTACTCGACAAGTGGAGACATTAACTTGGAGACAGTTCGAAGACTTGTTCATGGAAAAGTATTTTCCTAACTCGCTAAAACAAGAAATGATTCAAGAGTTCCTCCAACTGAAACAAGAAAAAATGTCAGTCGCTCAATATGCGAACCGTTTTGAAGCTCTTTCACGGTACGCTTCAGCCATAGTAGCAAATGAAGAGGATAAGGTTAGGCGATTTGAATGGGGCTTGGACACAGACATTAGAGGAAGATTGATCACAATGCAACTCTCCACCTATGCCCAGATGGTGGATCAAGCTTTAATTGTGGAACAAGAGTTAGCAGATTCCAAACGCATTCGAAATCAGCGATCAAGGAACAACAACCAACCACGCAGAGGAGGCCCAGTCCGCAACACCAGAAACTATCCTGCGCCAGCACCCTATGCCGGAGGAATGCAACAGCAACAAAGGCAAAATCGAGGAAACCAACAAGGAGGAAACTTTGTAAATGAGTGGAAAGGAAGATGTTTCAGATGTGGTCAACAGGGGCATCGTCGAAATGAGTGTCCTCGAGGTGGGGAGTATTTTATGGATTAGTGAGGGGCACAACAATACAACAGATGCCAACCTGGGCAAGGTTCTAAGCCTACTCAAACTACTCAGACCAACAAGGGGCAGCCACAAGCCTCTAAGAATGCAGGCCGACCAAGAACACAACCACAAGGAGCTGAAAATGGAAAGAAACCGGGAGAGACTAACCAACAGGCAGTAGGAAGAATGTATGCTCTCCAAGAAGAAGAAGATGTTGATAACCCATCAGTAATTCAAGGTATGTTAATCCTTATGAATTCTTGGGTTAAAGTATTATTTGATTCTGGAGCTTCGCATTCTTTTATATCCACTGCATGTGCGACAAGTTTGGGTTTAGAACTAGAAGCGTTAGAGATAGCTATGAGTGTCGCTTCACCCTTAGGAGGTCAAACCCGAGTAAATCTAGTATGTAAATCTTGTGAGCTAGAAATCTCCGGTTCACATTTGATCTGTGATCTAAGAGTTATGGATATGTCTGATTTTGACGTCATCCTAGGAATGGACTGGTTGTCAGTTCATCGAGCCATTATTGATTGTTACTGTAAGACCGTGACAGCATCCTCCCTTAACGGCACGAAAGTTCAATTTAAAGGGGATAGACAAGATTCTCTAACTCCAACGTGTCGCAAGTCACGATGGCATGATCAACTAACCGGATGGTTGGCGAGCCTAATTTTGGAAGACGAAAATCGAGAGAATCCCGGATTACCCCATGTGGTGTGCGAGTACGTTGACGTTTTCCCTGATGAATTGCCGGGATTACCCCCAAAACGAGACGTAGATTTCACAATTGAGCTTCAACCTGGGACTTCGCCGATTTCAATAGCACCACATCGTATGGCGCCAGCTGAACTTCGAGAATTGAAGGAGCAGTTGCAAGAACTGTTGAATAAAAAGTTCATCAGACCAAGTACGTCTCCTTGGGGAGCGCCAACATTATTCGCGAAGAAGAATGATGGAACCTTAAGATTGTGCATCGATTATCGACAACTAAATCGAGCCACCATTAAAAATCGATATCCTTTACCCAAAATTGATGACTTGTTCGATCAATTAAGAGGTTCAAAATGTTTTTCCAAAATTGACCTTAGGTCGGGATATCACCAACTTCGTGTCAGAGGAGAAAATATACCCAAAACTGCGTTTCGAACCCGTTATGGCCACTATGAGTTTGTGGTAATGCCATTTGGTTTAACAAATGCTCCTGGGGTATTCATGAGTTTAATGAACAAAATCTTTACCCCCTATTTGGACCAATTTGTGGTAGTATTCATTGACGATATTTTGATATACTCACGATCGGAGGAAGACCACGAGCAACATCTGAGGACCGTTTTGCAAATTCTAAGAGAAAACCAATTGTATGCTAAAGCTAGCAAATGTGAATTTTGGTTGAAGGAAGTAAAATTCTTAGGTCACATTGTGTCTGAATGGGGAATATCAGTGGATCCTGCTAAAGTAGAAGCAGTAATGGGATGGAAACAACCTAAGAATACATTTGAGATTTGTAGTTTCTTAGGCTTAGCGGGTTATTATAGGAGATTTATTCAAGATTTCTCCAAATTAGCCAAGTCGATGACACAACTAGCATAAAAAGGAGTAAAGTTTGGATGGAACGAAACGTGTGAGCAGTCATTTCAAGAACTCAAGAAAAGACTGACAAGCGCTCCAATATTAATCATACCCGAACGCGACGTTGGGTACACTGTTTACTGTGATGCCTCTAAAGAAGGGTTAGGTAGTGTGTTAATGAAAAACGGGAAGGTAGTGGCTTACGGATCAAGACAATTGAAGAATCATGATAAAAATTATCCTACTCACGATCTGGAGTTGGCAGCTGTGGTCTATGCACTTAAGACTTGGCGACATTACCTTTATGGCGAAAAATTTGAGATATTTACTGATCACAAAAGCTTGAAGTACTTGTTTACACAAAGGGATTTGAACATGAGGCAGAGACGCTGGATGGAGTACCTTGAAGATTACCAATTCACTTTGTCTTATCATCCCAGGAAAGCTAATGTTGTAGCAGATGCACTAAGTCGAAAGACAAGGG